CACTCAAATTTCCTCCCTCCCTCTCCCCCCACTCAAATTTCTTCCCTCCCTCTCCCCCCCAAATCAAATTTCTCCCTCTCCCCCACCCCCACTCACTCAAATTTTCTCCCTGGCACCCGGTGGGCGCGCGAGGGAGCACTCTCTGTGTGCTTCCTCTTCAGCTCTCTCGCGCACCGCGTACTGATGCCGGAGGATGACGTCATCTTCCGGCTCCGGCATCAGTACGGTGCTTGAGGGAGCTGAAGAGGAAGCACACAGAGAGTGCTCCCTCGCGCGCCCGCCGGCTTTCAGGGCCAGCCTCTTCTCCTGGGGGGCCCTGAGGTGACCGGCTGCTGGGCCCCCCAGGAGAAGAGGCTAGCCCTGTGGGTACATACCGGGGTCGCAGGGCCCCCTGCGACCCGGTATGTACCCACTGAATGTGGGGCCCGGACGACCTGAGCAGTCCGGGCCCCCCAGGACCGCCGGGCCCATGACAACCGTTACGGTTGTCATGCCCTGATGGCGGCCCTGGCGACGGGACACACGAAGTCTCAACAGAGGATCAGGATGTTTCCACGAGTTAGGATACAGGATCTTTTCAGGAGCCAGGATCAGAAGATAAGAGGTGGTGATCAGAGAGAGGAAATGGAGTGTTGCAGATATTAGATACTGTACATTCATAAGAGAAGATTAGGTCAAGGGTATTGCCAGCTACATGGGTGAGAGGATTAGCCCACTGTGATAGCCCGAGGGAGGAAGTAATTGAAAGTAGTTTAGAGGCTGCAGAGGTCAAAGGTGGGTTAATGGGAATGTTGAAGTGCCCGAGAATTAGGGATGGTATATTAGAAGAGAGGAAATAGGGTAGCCAGGCAGCAAAGTGGTCAAGGAAGAGGAGAGGGGAACCAGGGGGACAATAAATAACAGCAATGTTAGCAGAGAAGGGTTTAAAAAGGCGAATTGAGGCTAGTAAATCTATTGAATGAGAGATGAAGAACTCATGGACAGCAGTGGATTTTGTAATATTGCAAACAGAGCGTGCATTCCAGAGAGCAGTATTGAAGGAGAATTTAGAGTAACATGAGATGGGTATGAGATTAGTGTGGATCCTTGGGTTAGTATGTGGTGAGTATGTGTGTTTGCCGAGATGGGACCGGGGTTTGGAGAGAAATCACCAGCTGTTAGGAGCAGAAGGATAGAAAGGATGTGAAGGTGGGAGTAGGATTTGAAAGTTTTGTAGGAGGTTATGTATATAGAGGATTTGGGAGGAATTGGTGGAGATAGGCTGGAAAGGTATATGTCGAGTGCATGGGATGAATAGAGAGGGGAGGGTAGTAAAGCAGAAGTAATGAAGATGGTGTTGCCAGGGACAGGTGAGCAGAAGGATAGGGATATTTTAGTAATTAGTGTGAAAATGAAAAATAGAAGGGAGAACATTAGAGAAAATGTGTATCGTTATATAGATATGAAGATTATATATATATATATATATATATATATATATTTTTTGTGACAAACTTACTTTCCTCTGTGTGTTTGTCCAGGATCCTTTGGCAACCGCACAGCCCTCTAGGGTAAGAAAACCAGGCCAAGACAAAGTCCAGTTTCAAAAAGGCCTCTGGCCTATTTATTTTCTGTTGTTGTGAAGTAACAGGATACAATGAACAGCAAATCTTTCTCCACAAAACACCTTCTTTCTCCTCCAAAACACTTCCCTCACTTCACCCAGCTTTAAGTTATATAGCTGCTCACAGCCCCTACAGGTGAGGCTAATGACCTCGTTAGGCAGTGAGCCAGAACTCTATGGAAAACCTGGGCTGGACGCATGCACAACCACTCTGACAGTGGTTGGAGAATTGGCCCACCCTGCTCTTCCGAATACTCCACCCCAGGGACCCAAAATAACAACAGAGGAATAAACCTACATTTAAACTTAACTTTCCCTGGGGCTGCATGTGCTTACCCACATGTCAGGATAGTGGCTGTGCAAAAGTCTGGGTGCCAGATATACACCCCTGACCACCATCCCCAACACTCTGTTACATATCCTCCCCCCCAGCTCAGACCTAGTGGGGTGAGCGACCACAGAAAAAAATTTTCTCGCGACAAACTGTCAGCATTTCCATGTTTAGAACCCGGCCTATGTTCAACTGTAAAATGAAATGGTTGTAAACTGAGGAACCACCTTGTCACCCTGGCATTATTATCTTTGTTTTGACTCATCCAGGTTAAGGGGGCATGGTCTGTGACCAACCTAAACTTTCTACCCAACAGATAATATTTTAATGAATCTAAGGCCCATTTTATGGCAAGGCATTCTTTTTCCACTATAGAATAATTTTTTTCAGCGGGAGTCAGCTTCCTACTTAAATAAAACACTGGGTGTTCTTCACCCTGAATTTCCTGAGACAGAACCGCCCCTAACCCAATCTCTGATGCATCTGTTTGGACAATAAACTCTTTAGTGAAATCCGGGGTTTACGAGAACCGGTTGGGTGCACAAAGCCTCTTTCAAAGTTACAAACGATTTTTCTGCCTCTACTGACTACTTAACCACAAGTGGGGCTTTTCCTTTTGTGAGATCCGTTAAAGGAGCTGCTAATGTAGCAAAACCAGGAATAAAATCGCCTGTAATACCCAATAAGTCCCAAGAAAGTCCTAACTTGCTTTTTAGTGAGGGGGCGTGGCCAATTTTGTATGGCCTCCACTTTTGCTGTTTGGGGCTTAACTAGTCCTCTCCCAATTGAATAACCCAGATATTTTGCCTCTTCCAAACCTATAGTACACTTAGATGGGTTAGCAGTTAAACCAGCTAAGCGGATAGAGTCCAGTACTGCCTGCACTTTGGGAAAATGTGAAGCCCAGTCAGGACTGTGAATGACTATGTCATCTAAGTATGAGGCCGCATAACGGCTGTGAGGCTTCAAAATCCTATCAATCAGTCTCTGAAAAGTGGCAGGGGCCCCATGTAACCCAAATGGTAGCACCTTGTATTGGAATAATCCCCCTGATGTCGAAAAAGCTGTCTTTTCTTTTGCTCTGTCTGTAAGAGGTACTTGCCAATAACCCTTCGTCAGGTCTAAAGGAGTCAGGTAGCGAGCCTTACCCAGTCTCTCTATCAGTTCATCGACCCTAGGCATTGGATAAGCATCAAACTTTGACACACTATTTAATTTACGAAAATCATTACAAAATCTTATCGAGCCATCAGGTTTTGGCACCAGTACTATAGGGCTGTTCCACTCGCTTTGGGATTCCTCAATAATATCAAGATCTAACATTTTCTTAATTTCAGCAGCTACAGCCTCTTTCTGGGATTCTGGGATTCTGTATGGTTTAAGGCTTATCTTCACCCCTAGTTCTGTAACAATATCATGCTTGATAACGTTATTCCTGCCCGGAACTACAGAAAATACATCCCGGTTTCTACCAATTAAGTCCTTACTTCCTGTTTCTGGTGGGGGGACAGGGTGTCTGGTATATTTACTTCAAGTTCACTACCAGTCTTATCAGTGACAACTGAAGTAGTTAAGACCTCTCTGTCCTTCCAGGGTTTTAGTAAATTTATATGATATATTTGCTCAGGTTTCCTCCTATCGGGTTGTCTCACTTTATAATTAACTTCTCCAACCTGTTCAATAACCTCATATGGGCCATGCCAAGATGCTAGAAATTTATTTTCTACTGTAGGGACCAAAACAAGTACCCTGTCTCCTGGGTGAAAAACTCTCAGTCTGGCATTTTTATTATAACAGTTTTTCTGGGCATCTTGGGCTTTCTGCATATGTTCTTTAACTATTGGCATAGTTACGGTACGGATTGGATTCCTGTTCCCAGGTTTCTTTTGCTATATCTAGTAGACCTCTGGGATGATGGGCATATAGAAGCTCAAAAGGAGAGAAGCCCGTAGACGCTTGTGGCACCTCCCTTATGGAGAACATTAGATAGGGTGATAGGGTAGTAAGCAGTCCCAATTCTTACCATCTTTGTCAATTACTTTTCTTAACATACTTTTTAAGGTCTTGTTAAACCGTTCTACCAGTCCGTCTGTCTGGGGATGATAAACAGAGGCCCTAAGATGTTTAATTTGAAGTAGTTTGCATAACTCCTTTGTAACTTTAGACATAAATGGTGTACCCTGATCTGTCAAAATTTCTTTTGGTATGCTAAACATGAGCATGAGTTCTCTTGCTATTGTCTTTGCAGACGTGTTACGTAGGGGTATTGATTCTGGGTACTTGGTAGCATAATCCAGAATCACCAATATATATTGATGCCCCCTTGCAGACTTTACCAGAGGACCCACCAAGTCCATTGCAATCCTCTCAAAAGGTATTTCTATTATAGGCAATGCTACCAGAGGACTGTGATATGCCTTAAAAGGGGCGGTGTGTTGGCATTCAGGACAAGAAGAACAATAATTTGCAACTGAAGCAAATACCCCAGGCCAATAAAACCTCTGTAAGACTCTCTCTATTGTTTTTTCTATGCCTAAATGTCCCCCCAGTATATGGCTGTGTGCAAGATTTAGGACTGTATGTCTGAAGGGCTTAGGAACAAGTAGTTGTTTTACAACATCCATCCCCTTTTTCTCTACTCTATAGATCAAATCATTCTGTACCTCAAAATAAGGAAAAGAAGGGGCTCTATCTAGTTGTACTGGATCATCAGTTGAAACCTGGATATTTTTACGGGCCTCTGCAAGAGTGGGGTCTTCCCATTGTGCTTTCCTGAAGTTAACAGGACTGACTTCTAATTCAGGGAAGTTAATGCCTTGATCCTGATCGTTATCGGTCTCCTGACTTTCGTGGCCCTGGTCATCTCCTACTAAAGCTGGCCTGTGACTTGAGGCTTCAGCCTTCTCTGGTCTTATGCCTAGTCCTTCCCATTCTATGTCAGAAAAAGGGAACACATTTCTAGAATCATCATTATTTGCTATACAATCATTAACTATTTTTCCTGTAGACCCCCACAAGTCTAACAATTGGGGAAAATCTCTTCCCAATACCACATCATAAGCCAATTTATCCACTACACCCACTCTATGATTAATAGTACCGAAAAGGCTTTCAAATTTTAGCAAAGCTGTAGGATATTCACGTTTGTCACCATGAACACAAATTATACCAATTTTCTGAAATGCATCAACATCGGCTTCAGGTACAAGGCATTTTGTTATCAATGTCGCCATACTTCCGGAGTCTAATAGAGCTCTAACCTCTTTCCCATTCACCCTTATGGAACATATCTGTGGATTGTGACTACAGTTGGCAACAGCAGATTCCATACAATTCAGCAAACAATACAATTGTACATCCTGACTAATCATATTGCATTGCATCGATTCATCAATCAAGGGACAGTCTCTAGCTTTATGTCCAGGTTCATTACACCGGAAACATTTCATATTATCAACTGTCCCCCACCTAGACCCTTTTCCAGGATTAACATTTCTAGGCATAAGCGTATGGGGTCCCTGAGAATATGTCTCTTGTTCCTCTGTGTCTCTGAAACTTTGAAAAATCTTACCAGGTCTTTCAGCAGCTGGAGTCTTAACTCTCTGCTTAGCCTTTGTGTTGTTGAGCCACTGTCTGTCATCTGCAGCAACATATCATTCCACCAAACCAATTAACTCATCAGCTGTTTGTGGATCACTCTGACTGACCCATCGACGCAGTGAAGCAGGCAAGCCCCGCAGGAATCTGTCCATCACAAGAAGTTCCATGATATGGCTTGCCGTATTTACTTCTGGTTGTAACCACTTTCTAGCAAGATGTATCAGGTCAAACATCTGGGAGCGGATAGGCTTCTCTTGGTTGAAAGTCCAGGCATGAAATCTTTGGGCACGAACTGCCATAGTCACACCAAGTCGTGCAAGGATCTCAGCCTTCAATTTGGAGTAGACCCCTGCCTGTGCTGGTTCCAGGTCATAGAAAGCCTTCTGGGGTTCTCCAATAAGAAAAGGCGCCAGTATGCTTGCCCACTCACTCACCGGCCACTCTTCTCTCTCAGCTGTCCTCTCAAAAGCTAGCAGGTATGCTTCCACATCATCTGTAGGTGTCATCTTCTGCAGGTAACGACTGGCTCTGATCATTTTAACCTCGGACTGCGTCCCATCCGAGACTCTGGTCAGTCCCTTGGTCAAAGCCTGTATCTCCTTCTGTATCATACTGGTGGCCTGATGTTGCTCCTCTCTGAGCAGGCGGTTTGCCTCCACTTGGGCTGCCATAACCTGCTGGATCATAGCATCTGTGTTGGCCTTTTGCGTAATTACCAGTTGCTGTAGGGCCGTAATATTTTCCTGTTGTGCAGCTGTGGCCTCCTGCTGTACGGCTGTAGCCTTTTGCTGCGCCGCTGTAGTTTGCAACAAAACTTTCACAATTTCCTCCATATTTCTCCAGGCTTGTTTGACTTCCAGTTAATACCCACAGGCTTCTTTAGTGCAGTGCCCGCATTCTCCACCATATGTGACAAACTTACTTTCCTGTGTGTGTTTGTCCAGGATCCTTTGGCAACTGCACAGCCCTCTAGGGTAAGAAAACCAGGCCAAGACAAAGTCCAGTTTCAAAAAGGCCTCTGGCCTATTTATTTTCTGTTGTTGTGAAGTAACAGGATACAATGAACAGCAAATCTTTCTCCACAAAACACCTTCTTTCTCCTCTTTCTCCACAAAACACCTTCTTTCTCCTCCAAAACACTTCCCTCACTTCACCCTGCTTTAACTGCAGTTATATAGCTGCTCACAGCCCCTACAGGTGAGGCTAATGACCTCGTTAGGCAGTGAGCCAGAACTCTATGGGAAACCTGGGCTGGACTCATGCACAACCACTCTGACAGTGGGTGGAGAATCGGCCCACCCTGCTCTTCCGAATACTCCACCCCAGGGACCCAAAATAACAACAGAGGAATAAACCTACATTTAAACTTAACTTTCCCTGGGGCTGCATGTGCTTACCAACATGTCAGGATAGTGGCTGTGCAAAAGTCTGGGTGCCAGATATACACCCCTGACCACCATCCCCAACACTCTTTTACAATATATATATATACATAGAGGATTTCAGGTGAGGAGAGGTTTAGTGACTTGATTGGTTTGTTTTGAAAACCAGCTGATTTGCACTATCTATAAGTAAGGTAATGACCATGGGGTGGGATGGGCAATCTTCCAGAGATGATACCTCTGCTTAGAAGATTCTGCAGGACTTGATTGCTTGGGAGTGCTGGGTGTTAATGCTGTTTTAAGGGGCCCTGTCTCTGCTCAGAAGATTCTGACAGACTCTGATATGTTTTCTGGACACTTATTTGCATATAATGAAAACTCTAAAGCACACGTTTTAAAAAATAAATCAATATGTGTGGTTATTATCTGATATTTCCAAATCAATAATCCTATTGTACAGCACTACTGATTTTTTTCTTTTTTTTTTGGTGTGCTTTATTACTATTAATAAGTATGAATCAAAAACAACTTTGTAATACACATGAGTTGACAGTAGGTGGCAGGCATACACAGGCATTCAGATCTTAAACAGTCAATCTCACTGACACTAACAAATCACTAACTTTCTTACACCTTCTAAATTACCGCCAAACACGACTACCTCTGTATTGTTAGATGAGCATTTAGGCAAACAGGTGAACTTGTGGACAGAAGAGAACCACTTTGATAAGGACTGCCTGGATCTGGAAGAGTGCAATGACACAATCGTAGTATATACCTGATGTGCTAAAAATATTTATGGCATATATCAGGGTTCAAAACTTCCACTGGATACAAGCCATTGGTGAGTGGAAATTTAGACCTGGTGAATCGAACATTCATACCTGATGAGTGTGCCATGCACCCTGCAGTAGTGAGGAAGACCTGGCTATTAACATCCAACTTAAAGGACCACTATAGTGCCAGGAAAACATACTCGTTTTTCTGGCACTATAGTGCCCTGAGGGTGCCCCCACCCTCAGGGACCCCCTCTCGCCGGGCTCTGGGGAGAGGAAGGGGTTAAAATCTTACCTTTCTCCAGCGCCGGGCGGGGAGCTCTCCTCCTCCTCTCCGCCTCTTCTCCTCCTCTTTGGCTGAATGCGCATCGCGGCAGGAGCTGCGCGTGCATTCAGCCAGTCTCATAGGAAAGCATTCATAATGCATTCCTATGGACGCTGGCGTCTTCTCACTGTGATTTTCACAGTGAGAAACACGCAAACGCCTCTAGAGGCTGTCAATGAGAAAACCCCTGCTCTGACCTCCCATGCAATCCAATTAGCCCTTTTGAAAATGTATTTTTGAAGTGTTTTAGAATATTATATATTTTTCTGTAGAGGATCCTGGGAGGGAAAGCCCTGTATTATTGTATGGGAGACCCCATGTAGGGGTCTGTGCATAAAAGCCGTGTGTGACCAAATAAACCTCAGTTGACTCCCAGAGCTATGTTTCGTCTGGTTACTGGGGGAATAGATGTCTGTATGCTTTAATGGTTCCAGTCAGTTTACCCATGGTCTGCTACATACACTGTTTGTTTATGTACACCCACTCCTTCAGATATCCCCATGGGAAGTCACAGGAGCTGAAAGGTCGGGTGAACATGGCAGCCAATTATTCTGGTCCAGGGAACTGAGACACCTGGTTCCCCAGCAGCAGCATGCATCCCAGGGAGAAAAGTATTCTGTCCTTCCTCCCAAGCGGCAGTGTGAGGTCCAGGGAACAGAGACACCCGGTCTTGTTCCCCAGCAGGAGCGTACGTCCCAGCGAGAGAAGTGTTCCGTCCTTCCTCCCCAGCGGCAGTGTGAGGTCCATGGAACAGAGACACCCGGTCTTGTTCCCCAGCAGCATCATGCGTCCCAGAGAGAGAAGTGTTCCATCCTTCCTCCCCAGTGGCATGTGAGGTCCATGGAATAGAGACACCCGGTCTTGTTCCCCAGCAGCAGCATGCGTCCAAGGGAAAGAAGTGTTCCGCCCTTCCTCCCCAGGGCAGTGTGAGTTCCAGGGAACAGAGACAACCGGTCTTGTTCCCCAGCAGGAGCGTACATTCCAGGGAGAGAAGTGTTCCATCCTTCCTTCCCAGTGGCAGTGTGAGGTCCAGGGAACAGAGACACCCGGTCTTGTTCCCCAGCAGCAGCTGCTATCCCAGGGAGAGAAGTGTCCCGTCCTTCCTCCCTAGCGGCATTGTGAGGTCCAGGGAACAGAGACAACCGTTCTTGTTCCCCAGCAACAGCTGCTATCCCAGGGAGAGAAGTGTCCTGTCCTTCCTTCCCAGTGGCAGTGTGAGGTCCAGGGAACAGAGACACCTGGTCTTGTTCCTCAGCAGCAGAGTGTGTTATTGGGAGAAGAGACAGTCGGTCTCTCTCCCCAGCAGTGGAGTGAGATGTAGTATTGCTCGCTCCGCTCCGCTCCCCAGTATCCCGAGCAGTTCCAGGGGGAGAGCACAGTCGACTCTCCTCCCCAGAAGCCAGCCATGTCCCCAGCGAAGCACAGAAAGCGGAGCTGCGACAGACGTCCCAAACGACACCCATCATCCTCAGCCAACCTGTAAAACAGCGGGAAAACAGGTGATGTAATGGTCGGGGGGGCACATTTGTTTGGGTGGGGGTTTTGGTGGGCTCAGACGCCAATGTGTACCGGATCCTGGCCCGGGAAGCCTCCCTGGCTAAGTCATCCTGTACCTAGGAGGGTGCAGGGTGCCAAGCCAGCCAGACTCCAGGACTGTAGGGGCTGGCCAAGGACAAGTGTTGTTGCAGGCATAGCACACCCCGACTATGTGTCGACTCTAGACAGCAGAGAGCTGATCCGTGTGGATCATCCTGTGGCTGTCAGAGGTGAACAAGGGGTAGATGTGTAACGGAACGCCGTCACTGAGTACCATGCCCACATGTGTTCCCACCACCCCTCATTTGTCCAATCACATTGGACCCCAAGGACTTGGACTGTACACTCAAGGGGGTCCAGCCAACTTGTTGCAGGCCTGTCGTGGGTCTGTCCACAGGTCTGTCTATATCTATGGGGGGGAGATATGTGATGGATGGCATGATTTGTTTGGCCCATTTTTGGGACTGTTTAACATGTATCTGTATATGCAGCTGTGGGTCGACAAAGGGGTGGGGAGGGGCAACTGCTCTGTAAAGTATAGTTAAGAGAAATGTATTGCTTGTCTGTGCCTCTCCCCCTCCCCATTCCTTTTCCTGCCACAGCAGGATATTGTCCCTCTTCCATCCCCCATCAGCTTCTTGGGATGGAAACCCCTGTTGTTTTGTGTTGGAGACCCTATGTAGGGGTATGTGCATGTAAAATCTTGTGTGACTAAGGAAACAGAGTTCAGTTTGTGTTGTACTCCAGTTACTGGAGGGAAATGGATGCCTGCTTGTTGTAAGGGTTCCTGAGTGGCTGAAGGAAGGTATTAGCGGGGGTAACCGGTCGGGTTACCTGTGGTCCACTACTGTGTGTTTATATATAATTTTGGAGTTTGAATGCAGGAGTTTTTTATGCAATGTTTGTATTTGATTGGAGGGGTGTGTTTGCATGTTGTGTTGGTGTTTGATTGCTGGAATATATGTACTACACTGTCACATGCATACAATGCATACACTGCCACATACATACATACATATTTACATAGGTATACATACATGTTAACACAGCTACACACACATTGATATACACAGTAACAGATACACACACATAGATACACAAATGCACACACCTTAAAACAGAGATACACATGTATACACATACACACACTCCGATACAAACCCTGACACACTTATATACCCTGACACACACACACAGATACAGACACAAACAGACTGATACATACACACACACAATAGCATGGATGACGCCTCAGGCCCACAGCTGCTCAGCCCTGGCCGGAATCCGGAATCGATCGTTGGCTAATATAGTAAGGGTGTCTGCTAAATAGTAATAATAACCCCCGGGACATTCCTGACAGGACCCAAAAATTCTATGCCGCCATCTCGAACACCTCTCCCTCCCACGCGGCTCTGTATATTTGGCCGCAGCGCTAACCGGCCCGTTTAGCAATGCCCATGGAGTGGCCCCAAGTGCATGCGCCACCCGATGGGCCCCACAAAGCATACAGGCCTCGGCTGCACCGGCGGCAGTTCTGCCACTGGTGTACTGTCAAGCATAGCAACTCACACCAGAAACCAATGCTGCAGAAATCTTTGTACACTCCACCGGCATCATTAGGTGACACCAACAGGGACAGCATTACCTTAAGGCTACACAGGCAGTGCCCACTGTGTGTGGAGAGAGGCAGGGATAGGAAGTTACAGCATATCCCTGCCTCTCTCTACTACTCGTTGATCCGTGGGGGAGCAGCTACACAGAGAGTCCAGACAGCAGCTTAGGTAAGTGAGGAATGGGGTGGAAATGCAGCAGGGAGACATGGAGACACAGACACTAGGGCACACTGGGAGACCTGGGGACACTGAGATACTCGTGGACACTGGAAAACATGGGGACACTGAGACACTAGGGGACACTGTGAGACATGGGGACGCTGAGACACATGGGGATGCTGTGAGACATAGGGACATTGGGAGACACTAGGACATTGGGACATGGAGACACTAGGCACACAGTGTCCCCACCCTCAGCCAGTGTCCCTAGTGGCTCAGTGTCCACATGGCTCCCAGTTTCCCCTAGTCTCCCAGTGTCTATGTCCCCATGTCTCTCAGTGTCCCTAGTGACTCAGAGTCCCCATGTCCCCCAGTGTCCCCATGTCTCCCAGCCAGTGTCTTCAGGGTCGCCATGTCTCCCCAAGTCTCCCAGTGTGTGTCCCCATGTCTCCCAGTGTCGGCATATCTCCCAGTGTCCCCATGTCTATGTCCACAAGTGTCCCTAGTGTCTCAGTGTCCCCTAGTCTCCCTTGTTTCTCAATGTCCCTAGTGTCTTAGTGTCCCCAAATATTTCAGTGTCTGTCCCCATGTCTCTGTGTCCCTAGTGTCTCAGTGTCCCCATTTCTCCCAATGTCCCCAAATGTCTGTGTCCCCATGTCTGTATTCACAAGTGCCCCCATGTCTTCCAGTGTCCCCATGTTTCACTTTGTCCCCTAGTATCCTAGTGACATGGGGACACACTGAGACATGGGGACACTGGGCGACATGGGGACACTGACACTGTAATACATAGGGACACTGGGTGACTTGTGAGACTGAGACACTGGGAGACAGGGAGATACTGGGAGCAATTCATCTATACAGCAGAATCAAACTGTGAGTACATCATGTGATGTCATGCATAACTAATTAATTATACAAATGATTAAGGCTGGTGGTAACCCTAACTACTCTTCACATACTCTTGCTTAAAGGAACACTATAGGGTCAGGAACACAGTCATGTATTTCTGACCCTATTATGTAAAAACCACCATCTAGCCCCGATTGCCTCCCTAAATATAGTAAAATCTTACTTGTATTCAAGTCTGCAGATGCTGGCTCTGCCTCTGAACTGACATAATCAGAAGTGGTGGTCTGAGCAAATTATAATGCTTCCCCATAAGATTGGCTGAGACTGTCAACTAGGCAGATCAGGGGCAGAGCCAGCACAAGTCAAACATAGCCCTTGCCAATCAAAATCTCCTCATAAAGATAAATTGAATCAATGCATCTCTATGAGGAAAGTTCAGTGTCTGCATGCAGAGGGTGGAGACACTGAATGGCAGTGCTGCACACTAGGCAGTACTGCCCCAGGAAGCACCTCTAGCAGCCATCTAAGGAGTTATTTTCTCTGAAAAGACAGTGTATAATGCAAAAAGCCTGAATGGAATGCTTCTACTTACAAGAACAAATACAATAAGCTGAAGTTGTTCTGGTGACTATAGTGTCCCTTTAAGTTTGGAAGCTCAAGAGGGATGTATGGCAACAAAACTTGTGTGGACTGGCTGACAATAAAATTAGTTTAGGTAATGCAGACTTTGGTTTCTCTAGCACTGTGGCATGTCCCCTTTCTTCTACACTCACTACAGACACCTTTACTCTGTCCCAGACTATATACCAGGAACTTCTGCCTGCTAGTAAGAGGGTAAGGAGACAAGTGGACATGTGAGTGCTAGGGGACAGTCCTTAGAAAGCGTGGCGTAGGCGCATCATTTGATGCATTTATGTCAAGCTCAAGGTGCTTCCTGCATAGTATGCCCTTAGTTGGACAGCCTGCAGGATTGGCAGGCAGCCTGACATGCATTCATGCCAGGCTGGCCTTCCAACTCTCTGGACAAACATGCCCCCTTTTTGAGCATGTTCGCCCCTTTTGGCAGGTCTGGTCACGTGATTCGCATCAGTGGCACGCCCTTTTACCCTGCCCATTGACTTCCTGCTTCACTGGACACTGCTGTTAGGGGGGTATGGATTTACTTGAAAGACGAAAACATAAATCAGAGAGAGATTAGCATAGAGTATGTGTTTTCTTATAGCTTCATCCTTTCCCTCCAACACCAACTCCATCAGCTACATGACGCTTGGGAGGTATGGTTGTTTTAGTGTTTTTGGTCGATAAGATTCTGTAATAAGGCCCCATCATAACTGTCAGCTCCAGGCCCACTGGGCTCTTAATCTGACCCTGGGTGTAACATCATATGTCATTGATTGTATGATGCAAACAAAATACATAGTTGTTCTATATTTTTCATAGTCAGAACACAAGAACGTAGAAAAACTGCTTTTGGTTTGGTGAGGCTGCATTTCCTAAAGATATTCACTATTATGTTAAAGAACATTGGCATAACATGGGACATGGAATAACATGGAGTTATTGTTTTGTTCAGTGGAATAGAATGAATGCCTTCTTACAACCACTTGAAGCCCAACAGAGCACATATAATCGAACACTCATAGCTTACCCATGCCTCTCTTTAAACACATAATGATCACCAGATGTATGAAACATGACCATAGTGTAGATTCAGGTTCTAAATCCATTATCTACAGTAGACGAGAACAATTATCACAGCACAGTAATAGAAGAACTACAATGACAAGCATGAAAATTGAGCTGTGTAAGTAAATGATTGCAAGGGAATGCAAATTATAGTTAATTCCAAAGAGTTAAAGATCAAAAATGAAGAGACAAGCGCACTGTTACACACCCTGCTAAACAAGACATTAATTTGTGTTAGAGCAGATACCGTTTATGGCTTTGCCTACATGCAGGTCAATCTGCTTAATAAAATTCTTTAAAAAAATGAAAACAAAAGGTTTGTAGCATAACATTACAGTGTAACATGTTATCTGGGTAGTTAAGTGAATGATTGGGGATTGTGAAATCCCTAATGATATCCACCTGGCATACTAGGTATTTTACCCTGGAGATTAATGTCTAGTAAGTACAACAAGACTAATAAAATATATCCGATGTTAAAACCGTGCTTCCTCCTAGCACTGGCATAGACCAAACATTAGAGCTTTTAGAGAATATCTGCTGATTGATACAATTTTAGCTCAGCCAATAACCGGCATGTTGTGATCTGTTAACATGACGTTGGATTAAGCTGTTCTCATGGAAACTGATGCAATGTTTTGCTTCCTGTAGCTCTTAGACTATGTAATGCAGTAGCGTAGCAGCTCATTGCTGTGACATTCTCAGGATTATCAAAATAAATAAGTAGGGGTGCCAACAGCA